ACGATTGCAAAGATACTATGATTTTTCGGACGATATTCGTGCGATACCATGGTAACCTTGGTAAGATTTATCTACCTACTATGGTTTATAGGTCATATAAAAGTGTCAGGGATTAGCATTCAGACTGAGAGTTATGGGTTTTCATCGCGAATCAGCAATCATATCAAAATACTGCTTAGTGTTAGAGATAAACTCTACTGTCGTTTATAGTTTCGACGTTGTAGTTGAGAACTAATCAGAGTACAGTCAGAATCATTGTTACCTTCTGAAAGCTTCCACTAGTCATAGTTCTCACAAACGATTTACTTACATAAAGCCATAAGCGATAGAACGGATGCATATGTGCAATCGCAAACGATTTTGAGCAATATCATTTGATGTCTTAAACGACCGGTTATCGTTAGCTCGCGGGTCCTAAGTACGTAGTATATAGCTACCAACATGTCTCAGTTCCATTGTTGGTAGGTTTTCTTTTAGTAATGAACCACAAGCGATACTTAGGGTTTGTCTGTAACCCTCTCCTAACACATCGAACTTTGGCTCTGCATTCTTGCCAAGTACGAATTACAGTGGAAAACTTTGAAGCAGACAACTTACTTGTGTCAAGATCTCATTTTTGCCAATAGCAAGCGTTCAGTGCTACTTACTTACTTACTTAATTAGTCACTTACTCCTGTTACCCCAAATGAAGCGTTAGCTGCCCACCAGTTTTCTCCAACTAACTCTGTCCAGGGCTTTCCTCTCCACTTCTGTCAAACGTTTGTTCATTCATCTCATATCTTTCTCTATTTCTCGGCGTATTATGATTCTTGGTCTTCCTCTTCTCCTTTTGCTTTGAGGGTTCCAGGCGGGGGCTTGTCTTGTGACGCAGGAGGTTGCTTTTCGCAGTGTGTGTCTTATCCACTTCCACCGCTTCTTCCTGATTTCTTCCTGCGATGGAATCTGGTTTGTTCTCTCACACAGAACGCTGTTGCTGATCGTGTCTGGCCAACTTATCCGAAGTATTTTGCGTAGACAACCGTTAACCAACACTTGTAGCTTCGAGATGATGGCTTTCGTAGTTCTCCATGTTTCCGCTACATACAGTAGAACTGTCTTGACATTTGTATTGAAAATCCTTATTTTGATTTTGGTTGACAGTTTTTCGGAATTCCAGATAATTTTCAACTGTAGAAATGCAGCCCTTGCTTTGTCAATCCGCGCCCTCACATCTGCATCCGATCCACCTTTCTCGTCGATGATGCTGCAGAGATATGTAAAGGTGTTAATGTCCTCCAAGGCATCTCCATCAAAAGTTATTTGGTTGATGCATGTTGTGTTGCATCGGAGAATTTTGCTTTTTCCTTTATGTATGTTGAGACCTACTGCTGCAGAGGCTGCTGCTACACTGGTCATCTTCTCTTGCATTTGTTGTTGCGTGTGCGATAGAAGAGTCAGATCATCTGCGAAGTAAATATTGTCCAGCTGCGCCCTGGCTGTCCACGTAATATCGTGCTTCCCTCCAGCTGTCGACGTCTTCGTAATCCAGTCGACCACCAGGAGAAAGAGAAAGGGTGACAGTTAGCAACCATGCCTGACACCGGTCCTAACCTCGAAAGAGTCTGTTAGGTGTCATTCTGTACGATTTCGCAGTTAAATCGATCATGAGAATTCCGTGTGATGTTAACTATCTTCTCAAGCACACCCTAGTGTCGACGAATCCTCCATAGTATTGTCCTGTCCAAGCTATCGAATGCTTTATCTTAGTCAATGAAGTTGATGGGAAGTGGTGAGTTACATTCTATTGATTGCTAAACAATCATCCGTTATGTTGCAATTTGGTCAATACACAAACAATCCTTACACAATCCGGCCTGTTGACCTCGAAGTTAGGCGTCTGCGAAGTCCTTCATTCTGTTTAACAATACCCTGTTCAAGACTTTGCATGGTATTGAGAGAAGAGTAATGCCTGTGTAGTTCTCACACTTGCTTCGTGACTTGATCCTTGATCCTTTCTCCAATGTTGTTTCCCCTCCATTGAGTATATCGTGTAAGGCCCGGAATCTGTTGGTGAGCGATATCTTGAATTTGTTTATGGTATCCCAAAGAAATGCCGTAATAAACTTCTGTAATGTGGTCTGCCCTGTTATCCAGTGTTTCTTGAGTTTCAGTTTTATTTTAGCGACCATCAAGTGGTGATTTGAGGCTATGTCAGCTACTCTCTTGGTTCTCACATCCTTCATAGTACTACTGAACGTCCAATGATGTCTTCATATCCAGTGTTGTCCATTCCAACCTATGCATTTACGTCTCACACCAGAATGGTCAAATCCGTTTATGAGTATCTATCGACGATTGACTGCAGCCAATCGTAGAATAGATCTTTAACATCGTCAATCTAGTAATTGATGGGTGCCTGAGGTTAAGTTGTAATATTACTCTCGCAGTCCGCTCAAACTCATAAAGTGTAGTCCAAGTCCAAAAGCGATAATTCTGGGAGAGAACGTTTCTATTTTTTATCAAAAAGGGAAATAAATACAATCACCTAGACAATATTGAACCTTCTAGTTTCCAAATACCACAATAGGTTCCATTACTGGAAGAATAAGTGCTTCCAGTCCGTTACTGCTAGGGTATCAAATCCAAATATGGCTGTAGCCATACTGAGTATCAAATTTAAACAACATATGTATAGTTCAGACGGAAACATTAAACCTTCGATATAAGCACAAGATATAGAAATAATAACAATATACAATGAGGAAATCTGAAAACGGAATCAAATATAGTAGCAAAATATCAGCAGAAGAGTCAGTCATATCAAAACACAAATATATATACATGTAGGGATTCTCCAAAAACAAAATCTTCAAAATAGGTTCTACACCTTGCATTTGATGACGTCCATTGTAATGTCTTCTTTCTTTGTTTTGAAGGATGCTTTAATGATCTTTGTTCCATGGAATTCCAAATTAATCGGTGTTTTTGTGCATGTTTGGAATGCATGAATGCAAGTCCTTGTGCATGTGAAGCATTTTGCTCCTCATAACCAGAATATAACAGCAGTTCTCCTGAAGCTAGTCTCAGTTGTCCAATGCGTTTCACTGGTGCCGAGCACCTGGAGGTTGTATCTTTTCATTTCTCCCGCAACCAGAAATAGTTTTCCAGTGTCCCACAATGTACGAACTTTCAATGAACCTAAAAGAACGGTTGCTCTGGTTGTCAGAAGCGGGAACTCGGCTCACGTCACGCGACCTCATAATTCTTCTTTCAACTCCCAGGGCAGAGTTAAAATGGTTTGAATTATTTTTTCTGGTTGGCGTTTTTTGGCAAGTTTGATTACCATTTCTGTGACTATCAAGGATGTAGAAAGTTCTTTATCATGCGCTTGTAATTCAAGCTAGTTTGGCGAATATAGGGCTCGTTTTCGTCCAGCTGAGTGTTTCATCTTTGAGCATGCAAAACAAGAGTGAGCCATTGTCATTACTTGCTATCGGTGTTTGGACCAGGAAATGCAGTCCAAGTTTGAGGACTTTTTCTCTATAGTCTATCTAGTCGCACTGCACACATAGTCAGTCAACTCAGAGCTTCTAATCGTTGCGTCATGTCGTCGTCTTTCCTGAGATTTAGGAATGGGGTGATGAAATCTCCAGCTGATAGTACTGGCTTATAAGGCTTCCAGGTTACTAATGATGAGAGACAGATACTGCCAAATTACCTCACGATTGACTGATTTTTATACCATATTGTGGTTGAAAACTGACCATTTTTCAAGACGTCTGAATTAGCGCCCACGACCTAGGACTTGATGTAGTGTGAATATCTGGTAGGTACACTGAAATCGGGGTTGTTAATCAATTTTCTTTGGTTATCTCGAACAGCTGACGACTGTTGCCTATCGCCGCTGCCTTCACCGTCACTCTTGCTTTTGTGCACACTATTGTTTGCGATCACTGAATGTATCTTTTAATTGCCTCTGGCTTATCTGATTTGATTTCTCTTTTTGTTCAAAGCCCGACGACTTACGTATATGTACATCTTCCAGTTCGTTCGATGCAAATTAAATTCATTGCTTAACATTCAGTATTTTGTTTACTTCATTCGTCGGTATCATTGTGTTCCAACAGATTTTAGGATATGGTTTACGAGTGTTTAGTAAGTTAAAGTGTTAATGAAAAGAAATATGATGCCCTTACATTACTGTTAACACTTAGAATCAACCGAACAACTTGAAAATGTAAGTGAAACTGTATTAGCAACGACAATTTTAATTATATTATCAGTTTTTAATTAAAACAGTCGAATTTTCCACTTTCAATATTTTATTTCATTTTCAGGGTGCTGAATCACCAACTACCTTTCTACATGTTGAAGAATTATGTAGGTCCTGCATTTATATATATATATATATATCTTGCACTGTGGTCTGGTTGGATCGAGCGTTTAGTCAATTTCGCAATTCACTCTTTCAAGGGCTATTTATAGTAATGCCTAATGTTGACGTTTGTTATAAATAAGCAGTTGTCTGACGTTTGTGAAGTCGACAATCGTCATTATCTGTTCGATAAGCCACGTCACTATAAGGTCCACCCAGTTGTCTTTCGGTTCAGCTCACTCAACCTACTTAAGCAATAATGTTGATGTTCTGCCTGTCACATTTTTGTCATGTATTGCATAAAGGGAACCAAATTATATAAAGTTAGGTGGGTAATTAATTAGTTTTGTAACTGAACATTCAATCTCTACTAATGAAAATCTGCATATTTTGTGTTATCTGCGCCAACGATACTACTAATACACTATCCATTATTGTAATAAATAGTACGTGGAATTCAAACAGAAAGTTGACTGTTTCAACTATTCAGTCACTCTTCCATATTTTACATCATAATTACTTGACAATGCTCATTTTTTTATTGTGTATCATACTGATGTTGTTTTATTTCAGATACTTTTTATGCTTAGGTATTCTCTACTTGTTCTTTATAACTTTTATAGCTGATCCTGATACAGCTTATAAAATGTTTTTAAAAAATCATACTTTTTATGATCTAATCCCAGTGAGTGCGAAGTTAATCGTGTTCGATGTTACATTAAATGTAAGATATGAATAAATCACTATGTTATTATTGAAGAAAATTCGTTGAGGTTGTATTATTTTTAAAGTGGAAATCAAAAAAGGATCTAAACTAGACCATTCTTAGAATGATGGAAGCACTGAATGGCTGTTTCGTACTACAGTGTGAGACTCCTTATTAGTGTACATCCACGAAAACCACACGCCAGAATCGGATCACAGTAACGTCATTCTCGATGCTTAACACTTGACATCTAGGACACTAATTCGATATTGCACAAATTCGGCGAATAACTGTCCGGTACCCGAAACATGTTGAACTCCCCTAGTTGCCGTTGGATGCTGACTCAGTGGTGTAGAAAAGTTTAACTATTGGTGCATCAGGCTGAAGTAGCTAGATTTCAGTCCCACGGGGATGCACACTGGTAAACAGTCCCATACTATAAGGACGAGACGGCTATACAGTACTCTCAGGTTTCTAATGATGGTATAATTCATATCAGTTCATAATTTCAACTATGAAAACACTGATATGTATTCATCCAGTCAGTCAGTCATACACGACATGAAACGTTGTACGTAAGTATACAAGTTCAGGTTGCCACACCACATCAGCACCGAGATGCAGTGTTCAACTCAAATTGCATAGTGGTGGAGATAGTAGTAGAATAAGCGGTAGAGTAGAATATTTTGGATTGAACATATTATCCAAGAAGTATAGTTCAGTGACGAAGATTGGCAAAAGCCAGTCGAGCCTTCTGTATCCGATCTGAGATTTCATCACACACCGGGACATGAGCATTGATGAGACTCCAAAGATCAGTGACGTGTTTGACACACTCCGCCAGTCCAGATGCCGATACATGTTATTATTGAAGTAAAATGTCACATTTAAAGGAGTAAAACCGCCTACCGAACATACTAGCCTTGTTACAGGGAGTAGTCAGAAGACTTGGTATTTTGTCAGCATCTTATGAATCATTTCAATGTCAATATTCTTTAAACGTCAAAAATGTGTACTTCTTGTCTGTTGTTATTTTCGTTTACCTTTATTCTTTTTCTCCTCATCTTCTTCTTATCTCATCAATTTCTATGTTGAATCAAGGTAAATAAAGCATTTTTCACTTTAATTTATAATGGTGTACGTGTTGCTATTTTGTGGGATTCTACTGAACAAAAACATGTTGGCATGTTGACAATCACTGATTTTATACGTATATTACATCGTTATTATGGTTCACCAGATCAACCAATAACGGAATTAGAAAAACATCAAATTAAAACATGGCGAGGTAATTGTTTTATTTATACAGATAGATTAAATTCATTGTTTCATAAGCAAATACTTTATTTAAGAGTGAATAATCGTTTGTATTCGGCTATGATATTGGCAATGGTTTTTGGCTGGCTGTTATGGTAAAGTTGTATACAGGCAACATTTTAAAAGCCAAAGTCCTGGGTATCAGTCTACTTATAAGATTGTCATTGCACAGTACTTAAAAGTTCTATATTAGAATAAAAACAAATGTTACATCCTTCTTGGCCATTTTGTTCAATGGCTTTCTTGTATGAATACTGTCTGAAAATTCCCTTGTCTTTCAAATATGATGTTTTGTCGCATACATCATTTCAGATAGCTGTTCATGGTTGTTTGATTTTGTCAACAATCAAACAAGATGAAGTGAATTTGTCACAGCTTCGATGTATACCTTTGATATTTGGTAGTTAAGACGCTGGTCTTCTTACTCAACTCCCTTGTACGAATGATAGTGGTCAAAGTCGGCTTTTTGATTGTAAATTCTGAATTATGAGCATAAGTATATAACCACTGTCAAGAAATTCCTATTCACTGCCTTTCTTTGGTTCTGTTTGTGAGATTGAAAAGACAAAAAGCGATTGTCTTGTCAGAACATCGACCGGACTGATGAGTAATGAGGACCGGTTTATGGGAGGTAGAAATCCGTGACAGCAAACAGATGCAAAATAAATACATAGTATCGGGATCCTGAAGGAATCGATGTTGTATGAACGTAATATTGATCACCGTCTATCATGGAACTGTGTCTCGTAACATTGTTACACTAACTTTTATTAGATCTGTAGGATAATGACTAGAATACCAACCACCTGATTCGGTTTGATTAACTGGACAGCATCTCAGCCCACATACAAATTGCATGAATGTTTATGTGTTCAATTGAATCTTAATATTACTGCATCATATGAGAGTCGCAAATAGTTTCAAATATACAACCTATCATCTCATTGCATAACGATTGCAAAAGACACTTGGATTTTCGCCGGCGAAGACGTGTGAAAACTGATTTGAGAAGCTTTACCCGCTGTGCGACACCCACTTATTTATTCAGGCTCGGATTTCTTGAGCAGTGAATAAGATGGTAATTACTTTCTGTAATCTGTAAATTGAAAGCAACCTGTTTAGCTGTTCAATGTATAATATCTGTTGTGAGGAAAAACAAAAATCTAATAGAGATGGGAGATTGCAGAAGGTAAAGGCTGATCTAATTTTTCCTAGTTGAATGATTTGATGTCTGTATTCAGTTTCTGAAATAATCGTGTTTAAAACTGATGAAACCGCAACCGATCAAATAGATCTGTAGGGGAAGTTCTTGGTTCTTGTGCAGAACGAGTCTGTTTCGAAATGCCGAATTAATTTTGCATAAATAATAGGTTATGAAAACCTACTCGTTGTCTTTTTTCAGCAAGTATAATCACTGTGAAATGGTCTATTTACGATGGTAAGTAGATGAGAAATAATCGTTTTATCTCACTTAAAATCGTTGCTCACATGTAACTGCATCGATCGCATTCAGTTGACAACAAAGACTGTTTGACAAACTCTGAGGTTAAAAGCAATTAAACCATTGTATTGAGTATAAAAATAAGAGTCGCTAACGCATTTGCAAATGGAGACTTCAGATCTAGTTTCAGCTTATAGCAGATAGCGTCAAAATATCATTTTATCGATTTTTAATTATGATAGCCTGTCCAGTTATCTGAACGTTTGTTACCATTGGATATATATAATCAAATATGAAAATACTTTGCGAAAAGCTGGGATTCCGTCATTCACTTTTCGAATAATATGGACAAATTGATGGTGACATCCAGAATGATGATTCTGATGATGATGATGATGATGATGATGATGAGCGACGGTAGCTGGTCACTAGTTGAGCATTTATGCAGTGTCATATACCACAACAAGATTCTTCTTATCTATCTTTGCAAATCTAATTGCGTTGTTCTTCCTTTTGCAGGCCACGTTATTATAGTGTGTTCGATATATCCGAATAGGAAGATTTCCATTCACTATGAGAAAGTAAGTCGCACGGAAGAACAAAAAAAATTGTATTTTACGGTGTTTTAGTATTCTGTATTCTGCTACGTGTTCCAACACAGTCGATTTAGTTACAGTGCATTTCGCGTGTCAGAAAGGGATGAGCATTTCTTGATGTGGATTAGGGATTCCTCGATATCATAATTACTGTTGCAGTTTATTAACCTCGAACAATCTCAGGTAGTTTATGTCAACTGTAAACAGGTCTACAGAGACAGTTGAAGAAGAATTGAACTTTGAATTATATTTTGCCGTATTAGACATGTAGTGTAACCATTCTGAACAATATTTCTAATGCTGAGTTACTACAGAATACAAAATAAATCCATCTTTTTGAGCACAGTTTCCACTTCTAGAGTATGTGTGATTATAATTCAGTGATGAGAATAATGACTTGAAAACAGTGTTCTGGCATGTCTGACTCTAGCTGCATAATTGTCAAACAAAAACGTTGAGAGAATATATAATCCGACCGACTAACCGAATTCAGATATTCCGATTCGACGCAAAATACTGTTCTCAAATCTTCAATATATCAGATTATCTCCGTTAGATGAAATTGTTTTTGATGTCGAGTTCTGAAGAGATGAAGATATAATAATCTTTGAAGATAACGTATAGTTACACAGTTAGGTCTGATAGGAATCAACACTGAACTATGTGACAAGGATAGTTAGGAAACCACATTTGAAGTGACAGTGATAGTTACGATGATCAATGGGAATCAACAGTGAAGTGTGTGGCATTGACAGTAACGACGACCATGATATTGACCAGTTAGAATGAACCGACAGAATTAGACTTCCAAAAATAGTTCTTCTAGGATTTTTGATGAATATCGTAACAAACTTTAAGTCGAGAAATACGTTTTGTAGTTATAAATGAGTACTGATCCTCCTATTTGTAACTATATGTACAGATATTTTGAATTTGAATTTATTGGTTATACAACGTACACTTATTGTGAAGATGACTAGTTTAACAGTTTCTTCGTTTTATTGTGTATTCATGTTCAAGCAATAGCAGAACGAAGTCATATTATTACTCCTTATTCGTGGATTGAAACTGGAACGTTAGTTGAGCTTGAACTGACAAAAAGTATGTTAGACGTAATAATCTAAGCAAGCTTAACAAGCCATTACGTAAATTTTCTTTGTTCTAAAAGAAATTTTTAACATGAGATTATTAGCGCATACCATGCTTACAATTGAACAGTTTCATTTCAGCATTTTATGCTGGGTTACTATTTTCTTCTAATAATAAATCAGTTCAATGATTTAAAACTAGCTGCGACAGATTTGGCAGTCACCATTTTACAAAAGGTAACAAAACTGTCGATTGAAATACATAAATTTCGGATAGGTGAAAGTAAGTTGAGATGTATTAATGAGGTGCCGGCGACTGTTCCGTTCAGCAAATAAATATTTTTGAACTTTTTTGAGAAACTGACATCTTAGCAACCCACTTTGAAATTGTATTTTCATTGATGACAAAGATTTGATTGCCGAAAAGTGAACAGGTGGATAAGCAAAAGGTGTAAATCATTTCATCATGGTCAGTAGATAATTTCATTATTCACAAAGACATACGGGCTCTTCCAGTCTGCGATTTCATGGTCAGTAAATAGGTGAATGTAATAGTTCACTACATACACGGTTACTCAACTTGCATAATTAACCTGTCAGCGAATTAGCCCAAGATCTCTTATCATATCAAACAGAACAGTTTATGAAATGCTACACATTGTCAGCCGATATTCATTAGACCGACAAGTCTCTTGCAATAATTGAGAACATGAACATATCTCATTTAAGAAACAATAATATTCAATTTCTTCAATACTGAAATCTTTCAAACACAGTTACAATAGTATTCAAAAAACCCATATAGCTCGTAATGTTTTATCAATAAGCGACTAATTTTCGAACAATAAACAAACAACAGTTTCTTACATATTTTTGAAAAGAAGGCACATTTGCCTTCTTCCGATGACTCTGCATTTGTCAAACCTGAGGTGACTTAATTGTTATTCCTCTTATGAATCCATTTTGCCTAGTTTAATTAGGTGCATGCTGACTGATGATACCTTTATTTATGTGTGATAACCTGATTTCGATTTGTCTTATTCTTCCACAGAATCTTGTTACGATCAACATTCGTTCGAATCCTGTGTAGTTGCAGAAACATCTCATGTTGCATGCTACTGGTGTCCAACAGTTCAAATATGCGCTGATGGTGAAGACCTGCATGCTGAATTCTAGGAAAAAAATAATTGTGTTAATAATGTGAGTTTGTAATAGAACTAATAGACTTTTTGTGAAAGTGATACATGCTTGTTTATGAATGTGTTTTTATAAGTAGTTGATTCTATTGCAATGAATGATTACTGACCAATATTCACATCTCGGTGAGCAAATGAATGTTGCTTATATTCTGACAACATCCTCCTCTACTTAAATTGATCTCCAAGTAAACCTTCAGCTGTGATGTGACGTGTAGTTCGAAAAATGTATTTGGTGAGAGATGGAACTTTGAATGTGTTTGTCTTTACGAGTAATGGTACGTGATTGGATGGAGGTGTGAATAATATATGAGCCACGAATGCCCATGCACTTCGTCACTTTCACTTGGATTGCTAAAATATTCCTGTGTAATAATTAAACCATGCAATTATCGATTTTATGGTCCGTTGCCGGATTCATTTTACTCACAAATGCTGAAAGGGACGTTGGTGAGATCAACTACTGATCTATAGATATTCATTATTTCGTGAATATTGTGCTATTCTTTTTTTCAGAGTATCTATATAAGTGAAAACATGAGACGTGATTCTTCAGATTCACCAAAACAAACTACTCCAAATGCCAATCAGGATGACCAAGGTAGAAATCACCGTTTTCAGTCTAACCTGTACTTATACATTGTTGTGCCGATAGTAATTGTGCTCTCGCTTTTATGTTTGGCCTGTATAATTGGAATAACAATGAACAGGAAAAAAATTTGATTGAACATTTGGAGATTATCAGTTTAATAATAAACACGTAAAATTCTGCTGATAA